GCATTTTGGATCGAGATTCATGCTAGTTTGAAATCGAGATTTGACCCAGATTGGAAACAAGGTTCATATCAGTTCAAATTCGAGTTTCGACCCAATTGGCAATTGAGATTTGTGCCCCCCTATAATGAAGCATCAAGCAGACGCATGGATAGTTAGTTTTGATTCTTTGTTCTACTTGGCAAGGAAGTATTACCAAACCGTTTATAACTTACTACCAAAATAGTAGTCCAATAATGCCATACAAAATTAATTATGCAACAAAGAGTTTCAAGGCTATTCTTTGATTAACTTGGCACACAATATGTGTACATTATTTTTAAATTTCTCGACTTACAATCTCTCTAATGGATCATTACAGTACATGATTAATGAAATCAGCCTATAAAGAACGTAGGCCACTTGATTTTTATTGGTTATTTGCTGTCAAAAAATATGACATAAAAATGATTGCATCTTGTAACTTGAGATTGGGTGTCAATAATTTGATGCTTTAATATCGTAAGCATCAATTGTCGAAAACAAAGCGAGGTTTGACAAAGGAAACATCGCTTCTCCAAAAAAAAGAAAAGACGAGTGCAAACCCCAAAGATATTGAGGGCTTTGTGCTTTGTGATAATGAGGGTGAAGATGTGAAGGATTTGTATTTTTATATTCAAAGGACCAAGTTCCCTTGACTTTAATGCTTCAATGCTCTAATTATACCTACCTTTGTTACCTGCAAAAGGCATTAGAATTATACATGTCGAGTATCTCTTAGCTCTAAACATCTGAATTTGAAAGTTGTTGAACTAAAAATACTTTAGCACTGCGTTCATTAGATTACTATTTGGAGCACCTATAAACTATAGGAAACAATGTCCTCCAATTGGGATTCCAAATAATTGAATTAGAATCCATCAATGTTTGAGGTGAGATTGCAAGTACACGAATCATAGATTTCTGCACCTATGAACAACAATACTTGATTGCATGGAATCAAGACTCTAAAATAGTTAGCATCAAGATTCTATGGAGGTCGAAACAATATTTCATGTTGATTGAATCACAGTTCCCTGCTCTTATAAATCGAGGTACTTGATGCTGTAGATTTTGGATGCAAAACGAGATTTATTACATGTGGAATCGGGATCAATAGATGTGGAATCAAGACTCAATAAATTTTGGAATTGAGATTCGAAAAAGTTAGTACCGAGATTCCCTAAATAATGGGATTGAGATTCCCAAAAGGTTTAAAACGAGATTGTTAACTTAAGGAATCAAGATTCTTGGGTTCTAGGGAACGGGGTTCCATGAAGATTCCTTGTCAGAATTGCCGAATCGTGGTCTGAACATGAATCGCACCCTTGGCAGAGAGATTCTAGTAACTATGCACTAAACAGTGGACAATTAGGATGGAGAAATTTAGAACATGAGATGACATTCGATTGATAAGATAAGATGTGGTGTGCATAGGTTTGGACCAGAATCTCGTGGATATATTAATCCTCACGAGAAGAGCATGACTGACCTCTAAGTGCTCTCTAGCTTTCTTTTAGCCAGACCATTTTATTGTGTAGTGTATGAGCAAGAATTTTGATGTTCTATACCATATTCTTCCAAAAGGACAACAACACTCCAAGTGCCTTAGTTTTAGTATCAAACTGAGTGTTAATCATCTTATAAAATGCCTTGAAGATATTAGGAACTTCATATTTGGTCTTCAAAGGTAGATCTAAGCACATCAAGAGAATCATGCATAAAGGAAACAAAATATTGATAAACAAAAATAGATGTAACAGGAGAGTGACCCAAACATCAGAATGAAAAATAGCCAAAGGAGTGGTGCTTTTATTATTATTGGGTAAAAAAGAGTTTCTAGAATGTTTGGACAGCTCAAAGACCTGACATTGAAACTCTGACACGCTAGTTGAAATAAACACAACTGGTGAAACAGAACTTTCAAACACTAAATAGATAAAATGACCAAGTTGAAGATTGCTCTGCCAAATCCAATTTTTATTATGACTGGTCTTGGATTGAAGGACTTTGCTGAGTCTAGAACATAGAAACCAATAACTTCATTACCACTGCCAATTCTCTTCCTCGTATCTAGGTCCTGAAAACACAGTGGGAAGGAAAGAAGGTTACACTATAATTTAGGCTCTTGGGTAATATTACTGGAGATATTTTGTATGTTACTGAAGATATTTTGTAGTAGACCTTGGAACCAGAACTGATGACAATGGCATTTGAGGAGAATAGAAGGGAATGTCAGGCAGATACCCTGCCATCCAATTACCTGGGTGGCTGGAAGGGCCGCATCCTCTCTTTGTGGCTTGAGGGAACACAATATAGCTGCACTGGGTAAATGGTGGTGGCGTATGGCCACCCAAGCCAACTAATTTTGAATTCAGGCCCTTTGGCAAAAATACTGTCTTGGTTTTCTCCAGATGGGTACCTGATTGTAGGGCCAACAGCAGGTCTTTTGGGGCTTGGAAATCTATCCTCATCTCCTTCAGCCTCTTCAAAACCAACAACCGCTTCCATCACTGGGAGGGTCATCGAGTTAGGTCTTCTAGTTTGACCTCTGGATTGGGCATGCCCCTCTTAAAGACCTCTTCCCTTCCCTCTTTCTCGTAAAACAAAATCTCCTTGCCACTGTGGTTGACAAATTGGTCACCATGGGACCCTCTAGAGTATGGAAACCCACCATTAGGAGACCTCTTTCTGACTTTAAGGTCACGGAATTCCTTATCCTATCATCTCTTCTCCATACCACCTTCCTTTTCCCCCTTGGCATGGACCAAGTCATCTGTTGCCCCTTTCCTTTGAGGGTCTTCTCAGTCTCCTCTTTCTACCACAGACTTTTACAATCCCCACTTTTCCCCTCTCCCCTACCTACATCGTTGCTTAGGCCTAGTCCTCCATTGCACCCCCTTAGATCCAAGTTTTCAATTGGATAGCTCTTTCAGAAAGCCCTCATGGTAGCTCAGCTTCAAAGAAGGGGCTTGCCCATACCTAACAGATTTATGATGTGTACAGTTGATGAAGAATGCAATGCCCACCTCTTCATCCACTGCCCCCAGGCTCTGGACCTCTGGGGTGCCCTCCTTCAACTGTTCAGTTGGCAATGGGTAACCCCTAAGTCGATCCTCTCCTCTTCAGTTCCCTACAACCCTTCCCCTGGCTGAAATCTGGCATTCTCTTGTGGAATGCGTCCGTAGCAGCAACTCTCTGAGTCATCTGGACCGAGAGAAACAGTAAGATCTTATGTGGTGAAAGGTCCACCCGGCAGCCCTTTTGACAAAATCAAATCCTTGGTCATCTTTTAGGTGGGCAATCACAAACTTTTCAAGGGCTTCCCCCATTCTGCCTTCGTCCAGGATTGGCAAGCATTGCTATGCTCAAGGCAGTATCACATTCCCTGCGCTTCTTTGTGGAGACCACCTGAACCAGGCTTGTCCAAATTGAATTTCAACGGTTGCTCTCTTGGCAATGCTGGATACACAGGCATTGGTGGATCAATCTGAGATCATGAGGATCGGACCTTTGCCTCATTCTCCAAACACATAGGCTACATTGATTCGCAGTCAGTAGAGGCCCTAGCCCTTCTTGAGGGGCTCAAAACCTTCAACCCCCAGTGGAGCCCAATTTTAATTGTCAAGAAAGACTCCAAGAATATTATTTCCTGGGCCTCAGGCTGCTCCACCTGCCCTTGGACACAGAATGACTTTCGTTGAATTCTCTCCCAGATACGCTTTTTGTAGCACTGTAGAAGGGACTCTCACTTTTGGACCTACCATTAATCTACTCATCCTCTTGGTGGTTTTTTTTACAGTGCTACTTGTCTGTGGGTAGCCTTTCTTCATTTTGTAAAGAGCTCTCACTCAGAGGAAGGCTATTTTTTGTATAGAACTCCCCGCATGTAAGAAGCCTATTTTTTGGTGACCTGTCATCCCTTCTCCTACTCCATAGAAAAGTTAACATATTAAAGGAAAAAAGGGTTCCACTCCTACTCGTTAACATATATAAAATAAAGTCCTGGCAGTATAGCCTTTCACCTTCGAAGTCACTTTTGGACGTTGCTGTTGACTTTTAAGTGGAAGTTCTGAGTGTACACATGTAAGTATTAAAAAAAAAAAAAAGAAAGAAAAGAAACTTTAGTAATCACTTCTCTGAGAGTGAACGACTGAAATTGCAATTATGAACCTAGAAAAGTTATGGTGGCTTCTAGAAAACTTCTAATAATGTGGAATAAAAGCTTTAATACTGTTGAACCAAACTACGCACACCTATCATACATTTGGACAGGTTTCACTCTTATGAGATGGGGAAAGTACAGAAAAATTACAGAATACTAAGGTTTCTGATTTCTCTGATTCGGATACCATGGAAAAGTGGTTGAAAGAATCGTTGAAAGAATGAATCATTGAAAGAATGTAATCCTTCCTCAAGACGGTTCTATATGCATACAATTTGTCTCCTCCTGGTTGATAATTAAGTACATGCATCTAGATGAAATGAACAATACATTTGTAAGGTATAAAAAGACCTAAAATAAGAAGCACCATGGAAACACAAAAAATTGGCAGAACTCGACCACTCGACATCCACAAAATGAGGAGTTCAAAGAAAAAGTATGCTCACTATGCAGATGGTCAATGCTCGATCTTGCATGTTCCTTGCTTTTTCTGGTTGATGCAGCATTGATTGTCAATTTGCTTCTATGATAGATTTCATAATTTTGCATTGAAGTGATAGTCTTTCCAAAAGGACTTTGCAGGAATTTATTAACATTAGAACATTCTTTGAATATATGGAGCTTTCTTCTCCGACCTTCCACTTTGAGCGTTCAAGGAAGGTTACACAAATTCGTTGCTTTTCTACAGCCCTAAATATTTCTGAATGTCATGTCTGAGGTTCTCATTGTATTGTTGAAACTTCTTGTTTTTGTTTTTTGCTATAGAATTCCCTATCTTCCTTATTCGTTTTTGTTTTAATTTATAATTGGTGATTCACAGGGATACACTCTGTATTTATTTTTTGAGGCTAAGAATACTCTTACAATGCAAGGAGATATAGCAGTCGCAAGAAGTGTTGATAATGGTGCCACGTGGGAGTATTTGGGTGTTTCTTTGGATGAGGAATGGCATCTTTCATACCCATATGTTTTCAGCTATCGTGACCAGGTGAGAAAAAGATTTCGAGCACCTACTTTGGATTCTTTTGAGGTTTGCACCTGTTGTGAAGTGTGCAGTGTTAATGGTTACTTGGTGTCTATTTTATCCTTATCATGATTTCCAAATGTCTCAGGACCATGAAATGTCGTAGATGCTTCATCAACTTGTAGACTTTGAAAACTAACAGAAACATTTCATCTGGGATGATGTGGACATACATTTATTTATGGCTCCTTAATCAGGGTAAAATGGTAGGTGACTAGGAAATTATCGAATAATTCATAGGTTCGTTGCCAAACATTTGATATGCTTAGAAGGAAATTAATTCGATTGAGCCTGCCACCAGCAGATAGATAATCCAACATCATGCATAGCGCAAGTGTGTCAGAAATAAATTAGGAGGAGAAAATAGAACTGTGTTAGGAATAGTTTTGGGGAGAAGATTTGGCCACTCAGTTTTTCAACAATCCACCCACTGTGTGACCCAAAGCATGCGTGGTGGTATCAATGCCTATGTCCCGTTTTGGTCACCCAATCTATTAGATGGATTATTAAAAGAGCAACTAGACATTGTTTTTCCCCCTCAATGTTCGTCGCTTTCACTCTCTCTCTCTCTCTCTCTCTCTCTCTC